TTAAACTAATTTATCTCTTCGAACGAATTTAGTCTTAATGTCGTAAATGTGTCACTTTTAGACGTAAAGGTCAAAATAACTCCCACGTTAGATTAAACAAGAGTCGGATCAATATCAAATATGAGAGAACCTAACGTGCATAACCCTCAGGACAGATTACTATATCTCATCCTTCATACTATCATACTATCTAGACTGAGGAGTTTTAACATGGATATTTTCTTCCTAACTGAGTGGAGAGCAGCATGCATTTTGTAATTCCATTTTAGGGTCATTTTCATAATTTCCCATAACATACCTCATATTCTTATTTAGATTTTCTCCTTTCATAATTTACCATAAAAATTGAAGGGGTTAATGGAAGTTTTAAAACCTCAAAGTTTGTATTTTGAAACAAATCAATGTCGGGAGCATCTGTCATAAATCTCTCTATCGAGAAATCAAAATTAAAGATCGTGTGTATTACTGGATTTGTTTGCCCTTAATTGATGTTTTAAATGGTGGATCCACCAAATTGCTAGGACACGTCGCTGGTTCCTTGTTTAGTTTATTTTTAGATGAGAGAACAAAATGGAAATTGGAATCCTTGGCGGGTTATCAGTGTTGATGAACGTGCTTCGATGTGAAAGCAAGAGAAGGAGAAACGATTCAAGCCTTTGTTTATAAAATTTGACTCTAAACCCAACAACTGAGTCAAACTAAGGAAACTCGCGTTGTTCCGATTGGAAGACTTTGCTAGCCAAATACTACTAATTATTTGTAATATCGCTACATGTGTTGATGAGACATCGACTATGATTAATGTGTATGAGAGGATTGTTTGGTTGAAGGAGGCCAATGTAGTAGAGGCTATGAGAAAGTGAGCACGAGAGAGGTGTGACACTCGTGGAAGCTCTAAGAAGTGAACACAATATATTCCTTGTGCTAACACCTCGGGCCTAAGATGGGTGATTTCATAAGAAATGTCAAGACTAGCATTTGTTTGAGAAGGGGCACCATGCTAGATGTAAAAGGCATAGAAGAACGAAGTTGCAATAAGACCAAGAGGAATGTTGGCTGAAGTGCAGTGCCAGCAGATGAAAGGATTGTGTTAAAAGATTATAGACTTTGCTTCGGATGTGACCATAACAAGAAAATGTTGTGGTTGTGCTTGCGAGTCCCATGTCAAGGGGACACCAATTTGTGTGACTCAGAGACTACATGTGTTGAGGCCAAGATAGCCACGTTTGAGGTCTGCTCCTTGTTAAGGATATTTAGTAATAAATTATAGTTTACCATATATATTATATTTGATATTTTATTATAAGGCAAATATCTAATATTTGCTTTATTATCATAGGTATCTTTCCATTTATTGTTATTTCCATTTATTACTATTTTCATATCTTGTAATTCATTTGATTATAAATAAGATAACTTTCACACCATTTAGGTGTGGTGGATTAATCAAACATCCACATGGTATCAGAGCCCTTTCGGTTTCACAACCCTGATCCTTTCTTTTCAAGGGCTTTTGAATCCTCTAATCTTCTTCTCCACCTCCCCTGCTGGTTTTGACAATCCTTTCTTTTCAAGGGCTTTTGAATCCTCTAATCTTCTTCTCCACCTCCCCTGCTGGTTTTGACACCGCAGGGGCAGTCTTCATGGCTGCCGTAGTCGGAGCCGATTGATTACTCTTCGGCTCCACCCTATTGACCTCCAAATCACCTTTCGTCATACTCTGTACATACAACCTCACCTTTTCCAACCAAATTGGTTTTCCTCTTGGCCAATATAGTCTCTCTCGTTTTCTTCCCAATCAACCTTCATCCTTCACATAAACCCTAACCTAAACCTATCAACCTTTTGCAGAGATTTACCTTCGGAATCTGGGTGCCGCACTGGCCTATTCGCCAACCAAGTTGCCGCCGCCCTTCCTGCCAAAATTGGCTTCTTCGCCCGATGAGGCGACTCTTCCGACTGTCCTTCTCGCCAAAATTGGCTCTTTCGCCCAATGTGGCGACTCTTCCGGCTTCAACATTGTCTTTGTCCCTTGCTCTAGGTTTCCCCTTCTACTTCTTGGGGTTAGAAATATTCTCACCAGAGCCAAGGCAGCATCGTCGCTAAGCGACAATCTCTCTTCATGGGTTAGACATATTCTCGCCGAAGCCAAGGCAGCATTGCCGCTGAGCGGCGATTCCTCTGCAATTTTCGATGGCCAAGAAAGTGTTTCTCTACGCCTCCTCTCAACCAGGTTGTTGACTTCTTCAAGAAAAGTGTTTCTCAACCTCTTTGAATTTTTCAGATTCAAGCTTCACGTTCGTTTAAATCCGACGCTTAGCTTGCGGTGGGGTGTTAAGGATATTTAGTAATAAATTATAGTTTACCATATATATTATATTTGATATTTTATTATAAGGCAAATATCTAATATTTGCTTTATTATCATAGGTATCTTTCCATTTATTGTTATTTCCATTTATTACTATTTTCATATCTTGTAATTCATTTGATTATAAATAAGATAACTTTCACACCATTTAGGTGTGGTGGATTAATCAAACATCCACACCTAGCTCAAACGAGAATATGCTAGTGCTAATTTTGTCTTAGTTTGTCCGGTAAATCCAAGGGTTTGTTTGAGAGAAGGGCGAGGTAGGCCCTTAGTGGAATAGCCCACAGTCATTGAGCAGTTGTTTTTCGTGCTTATACTATGAGCCTCGATGACCAAAAGAAGGTCCATCAGTGGGATAGCCCATAAGTCGTACATAGTTTTCGTATTCTTTCTGAGGCACGTTTATTTTCATATTCTTTACCTCGAACGAGGGTGTGAGTGGTGTGATCCTAACACTTCACAAATATGCTAAATATACAATATTTGAAACGTTAACTTCTTTTAATTTTTATGGTTAGTTTTTTGTGAACGAAAAATTAGATTAAAAATTCAATAAAAAATCTCCTATATATTTTTTTATTTAACCCTAAACTATAATGGCAATTAATTAATGTAGTAAATCAAATAGAAAATATCAATTCATTATCACATAAATACGTCTGAATGCATTTAAAATACATGATATCTGACATCTTCACGTACTAATACAGGTTCTTTTAGCATGTTTGGTACAGGTTCTTTTAACATGTTTTATCGACAATTACGTGCTTCCTACAAAGATTTTTAAAAGATCATCTAACATAGGATTGTTTCAAACCAAACACGTTTAATTTTGGAGTTCATATAACTGAGTCACTGAAAAGAGGAGGTGTACATGGATGATTCGAGACAACATTTGCATGTAAGAGATCCTTAAGATATGTACGTATGATTAAAAAAATACTTAAAAGAATAAATAACTTCTACCTCTAGGAACATGATAAGATTTTTCTTCTCTTTTATTCTAATTCATTTGCAAGTATTTAGATTTTATTTAGAAATCAAATACCAAAAATAATTTAGATATTCGAGTAAGTGGCTTTACTATCGGCTCGGTTAGAAGAATTGTTTGATGTATGATGACACGTGCCCTATGGCCCTTGCACGTGTCATGTAGACTTATATTATATGATGATTATGTGATATAATGATGTAATGATGATGCTATGATAATGTGACTTTAGATGATGATGATGATGATGTAAGCTAGTATGAAGTTATGATGATGTTATATGACGTTACAATGATGTGATATGAGGATATGATGGCGACGATAACATGATGATTTGATGACGATGATGCATGACAACATGATGATATAAGAAGCATGATGATGACATGTCTTAATATGATGATATTTCATATTAAGATGATGTGCATGTACTGATGTTAGGATTTATGTCCTAAAGTCTCATAATTAATTATTTAGTTTTTAACAATAATTTTTATTATTTTATTTAAAATTTAATTGTTATCCATGATATGAAGATGTAAGGTTATTAATGTAATCTTGAACCGTATGTGGTTGACATACAAGAGGATCGTGTTTAAGTAATAACCTTAAAGAGTCTATAGTATATGGATAAGGTTGGGTGTCTTATTCTGGTAACACTATTGATACGACCCACTTTGTAATCGTTACAAATGATTTGATCCAAATTGTTCATGTGGAGACATGTAAGTGGGGTATCCTATATAATGAGTTTGTATAAGACTGGACCAAGAAATATTTAATCTCTCTTATAAATCCGTTAATTGAGAAGATTACTATTTCACATGATGATCATATGCGACTTGATCTTAATCTTGAGTGAGTTATGAACTCCTACATGTGAGGGCTTGTTCTTTAATTTACATGGGGGAGAATGACTCTTTAGCAGCCGATTTAATATGCCTACCATTTTGGAGACTTGACCAAATAGGGAGTTAGAAACATAATATCATGATATGAAATTCACTCATTTCCATATAAGAAAAGTAGATGAGTTGTTCTATTAAGTATTGATTTCAGGACTTGAACAATGGCTCCCACCATTTCATTGGCTCGAGAGGTACTTGGTTTATGATTGGATCATAAACAAATTGTTCATTAGAGAATCTAGTACTTAGGGTGAAAGATATAATTATAGGAGTAAACAGACTTTTGACTCGACTGTAATTATGAACCACTCATCAAATTAATATTTAATATATTAGATATATTAAATATAAATGAAGAAAAATAAATTAATTTGAAGGGTTGAAATTAATATTTAATATACTAAATATATTAAAAAGAAAAAATATATTTATCATATTTCATATGAAATGAATTAATGTATTTTGATACCTAAAATAAAAATATATTTGAAATTTGAATTAGATTTAAATTAATTAAATATATTTAAAATTTGAATGAGATTCAAATTAATAAAATATATATTATGATATCTTATAATATCTAAACAATGTATTAGATCCTAATGTATTAAATAAGCAAATATATTATTCAACAAAGATTTTAAAGAGTCCTCTCTTTCTCCAATCACTTTGGGATTTTATTTCAAGAGGCTCCCACATGTGTGTCATAGTAAGAAGATCTTGTGAAATGTAGAAGAACTTCTATATGGTTGGAATAGTCTCTAGGGTTTCTATAAAAGTAGAGTTCGTACTCTTCTATTTATTGCTTTTCTTTTAAGTCTTAATAAAATCAAAACAGTTCTCAATGCTTCCGCTACGTGGATGAATGAAGATTTCATTCTGTGAATGTTTGATTAATCCACCACACCTAAATGGTGTGAAAGTGATCTTATTTATAATCAAATGAATTACAAGGATATGGAAATAGTAATAAATGGAAATAACAATAATGAAAAGATACCTATGATAATAATGCAAATATTAGATATTTGTCTTATAATAAAATATCAAATATATTATATATGGTAAACTATAATTTATTACTAAATATCCTTAACACCCCACCGCAAGCTAAGCGTCGGATTTAAACTAACGTGAAGCTTGAATCTGAAAAATTCAAAGAGGTTGAGAAACACTTTTCATGAAGATGCTAACAACCCGGTTCTTGGCCATCAAAAATTTGCAGAGGGATCGCCGCTCAGCGGCGATGCTGTCTTGGCTTCGGCGAGAATATGTCTAATCCATGAAGAGGGATTGTCGCTTAGCGACGATGCTTCCTTGGCTCTGGTGAGAATATTTCTAACCCCAAGAAGTAGAAGGGGAAACCTAGAGCAAGAGACAAAAACAATGTTGAAGCCGGAAGAGTCGCCACATTAGGCGAAGGAGCCAATTTTGGCGAGAAGGGCAGTCGGAAGAGTCGCTTCATTGGGCGAAGAAGCCAATTTTGGCAGGAAGGGCGGCGGCAACTTGGTTGGCGAATAGGCCAGTGCGGCACCCAGATTCCGAAGGTAAATCTCTGCAAAAGGTTGATAGGTTTAGGTTAGGGTTTATGTGAAGGATGAAGGTTGATTGGGAAGAAAATGAGAGAGACTATATTGGCCAAGGGGAAAACCGATTGGGTTGGAAAAGGTGAGGTTGTATGTACAGAGTATGACGAAATGTGATTTGGAGGTCAATAGGGTGGAGCCGAAGAGTAATCAATCGGCTCCGACTACGGCAACCATGAAGACTGCCCCTGCGGCGTCAAAACCAGCAGGGGTGGTGGAGAAGAAGATTAGAGGATTCAAAAGCCATTGAAAAGAAAGGATCGGGGTTGTTAAACCGAGAGGGCTCTGATACCATGTGAATGTTTGATTAATCCACCACACCTAAATGGTGTGAAAGTTATCTTATTTATAATCAAATGAATACAAGGATATGAAAATAGTAATAAATGGAAATAACAATAAATGGAAAGATACGTATGATAATAAGGCAAATATTAGATATTTGCCTTATAATAAAATATCAAATATAATATATATGGTAAACTATAATTTATTACTAAATATCCTTAACACATTCCCTTCAACTAATGGCATGATGCATTATAATGAAGATAAAATTAAAGAATTTGTCACCATGATGTATGTAAATATGAAATTAAAGTATCTGTATGAATAAAATATAAATAACATGATGCATTATGATAAAGAAGAAAAATTTTGTGTCGATGCATCCCGTAGACAAGATGTGCTACATACGAAATGAAGGATGACACTCCTTTAGAGCATTGAACATGGTGAGGGGAGACTTGTGGGATTGAGAGAGGCGTGAGGCTACATGTTCGTAGCATCAAGATGTTGTCAAGTAACGTCTTAGCGCTAGCTTCTTGGGTGGAGATGATGGCTTGATTGTGTTAATGTTGAGACGCGGCTTATACATCTCAATATTGTCCCCTCAGCTTGTGGTGCTTGTTTTCCTCATTCTCTACCTCCGATTCCCCCTTCGATTTTTAATTCTCTAAACTCATTATTTTGATTCAAATACTCAATATCTACCCAACAAAGAAGTTCATTCTTAAAGTGTCAATAATATTTAGACCCTAAGAACAGCTTACAGTATGTTGTGACTTGAACTGACGATGAGTTTGATTATTCGGATTGGTTCTTGAGTCGTGTACTGAAAAGGATGGGCACGACAAGTTGTGATTACGATTGAGTTGCTATCGTAACATCTTGACAACTAGCTTCATTGGTCTTTGAAGCCTAAATCGATCTCATTTGCTAATGGGGTTGATTATGTGCTTTCATGTGCCCTAATGATCTTTTTTTTGGATAGAAGTTTCCTTAATTTCTTCCCTCTCCTCTTGTTCATCTATTTAATATATTTGGATCGAAGATGTAGGTGGGGGTTGAACACAAACACTCCACTCTTTATTAGCACAAACCGAAAAGAGATTATAACACTCTGTAGAAACTACTACTTTGTATTTCTTCGGATGAAAATCATGGTAGGGTAGTAGAGGCTAGACAATTTATTGGTAGGGTAGTAGAGGCTAGACAATTTATTCTTCAAATTTCTCTAACATATTTTCTAAAATATCTTAAATCATTTTCCTAAAATATTTAGATATCTTCATTCCTAACAAAAACCTAAATCATTTTCCTAAAATATGTGATAACTTTATTCCTACCTAAATCATTTTCATAAAATAATTATACAATAAATTCATACAATTATTGGACTTTTTAATTTGGGTGACGGAGGGATCGTACCATTCGAGCCTTTTTTTTCATGTTTTTCTCGAAGGTCTGGAGAAAGCTCCAATCAATAGGATTTTCTTAATCCTCCCTTCTAGAAAGCGAAAGGAAGAACGTGAAATTCTTTTTCCTTTCTTCAGCATGGACCAAGAGATTTGACTCTATCGAATCATCTCTCAACACTAGTCCTCATTCGCTGCATCATGTTGAGCTGACAGCAAAAGCTCTCATGTTTGCCAGTATTCAGTCTTTTGTAAACAAGTCTACCACTTGGTCATTTATTTTGATATGTTGCATCTCGATTTCTTCCTTCAGAACTCTCTCTACTGAAATGGTAGTGTACCTCCACATGCTTTGTTCTAGCATGAAACATTGGATTTTCTGCTAGGCGAATCACAGATTGGTTACCGCAATGAAGTGATATTGAATATAAAATTTTCTAGTGCAAATCTTCCATCAAGAGTTCCAACCATGTACTTTCCTGAGCGGCTCCAGCCGTTACTCTTACTTCTGTAGTTGACAATGATATTGTTGGTTGTCTTTTGCTACACCATGTGGTCTCATGCATAATCAACGTTATAGTATCCAACTAGCTTGCAGTCTTTGCTTCTTTTGTATAGAAGACCATAGTCGATTGTACCTTCAACATATCTCAAGATCTGTTGAGCCACATCAAAATGAGGCTTCTTTGGACTTTGCATGTACCGACTCATGACTTCAATTGCATAAGAAATATCAGGTCTAGTTAAAGTTAGCTAGATAAGACTACCTACTAGTTGCCATAATGTCATTTTATCGTTCAACTTTTTGCCTTCATGTGCACAAATCTTGACATTTGACTTAATCGATGTTGAAACTTGCTTGCACTCTAATATGTTGAACTTCTAAAACATATCTCTTGTATAATTTTTTATAAGGATCACGACGTTCCAAATGTTTCAATTGTGCCTTTTACACGATCCAAGACCAAGAAGATTCAACAAGTATTCATTCTTCATCTAAAAAATTTGATAGACTCAGTTCAACCATCGTTTCATGTGTTACATGCTGATTCGATTGAGAAATGACTATTTGGAGATTCAAAAGTGAATTTTTGCACGGTTGAAGTGGTGGATGAAGTTGCTATAAAGTGCACTTGATTGATAAGTTGTTAGAAGACTTTTTTTATTATTTTTAATTTCATAGTTCTTGCCATTGACAAAATGGTGAAAGTTATTGGTCAAATTGACTTCTTCTCTTGTGATGATTTAAGGGGATCGGTATTAAATTATGCCACTAATTTCTTTAGTGGGCATTTAAAGAATTGAATGTTTCTTTTGTGGGGAGACTATAATACCCCAAATTATTTGGTAAAAGGTAGAATTTGGATTAATGAAATTGAGATCTCAACTTAGACTTTGACAGGGATCGGGATTAAATTATGGCCACTAACTTCTGGGCATTTGAAGAATTGAATGTTTCTTTTGTGGGGAGACTATAAATACCCAAAATTATTATGTAAAAGGTAGAATTTGGATTAATGAAATTGAGATCTCAATTGAGACTTTCACCCTTAGAAATTTGAGCATCATCCTTATCATTTCTAAGTTTCAAGTAATTATTGTGGTAGATTGCATCGGAGTTATTCAATTAAGCTTTGATGATTCGATGGTGAAGTGACTCAAACATAGAAGAAGGTTTCCAAATCTTGCTTCTAGATCTTTGATGCTAAGAATCTAATTCTAGCATTATCTCTTGGTTGATTCGAATTTTGTAGAAAGAGGTGTTAATTTCTTTGATTCAAGCGTTTTTGCTCCAATAAAAATTGGCTCGTTGGGCTGAAGATTGGGTTGCCTTATCCCTCTTGTTGGAAATAATCCTTCATCTTTGCGACGAACTTCTAGGGCCAAGAAGTGTTTAAGCTCTCCTAGCTCTTTCATCGTACTGATAAATTTTCTCATGTTTGATAAATTTCTCTTTTGTCATCCTTGGTGATAATCAAAACGTCCACATAGACCAATAAAATTGTCAATTTTCCTTCTCTTTCTTTGATGAACAAGAGTCTACATGCGCAACTAACTAACCACTTTAGGTAAGAAATTCAACATTCTTACCATACCAAGCTCTCGATGCTTGCTTCAATTTGTAAAGAGTGTTTCTAAGCTTGCATATGTGATTAGGATTAGTTGCACTCTCAAATCCCTTCGGTTGGTTCATATAAATCTTCACGTCTAACTCGCCATGCAAGAAAGCATTCTTCACACTCATCCGCCACAATTTCCAATTTTTACTTGTCGCAAGTGCTAGCAAAACTCGTACAGTAGTGATCTTTGCCACTGTACTAAATGTTTCATCATAGTCTAGTCCATATTGTTGAGAAAACTCTCGAGGTATGAGTTGAGCCTTGTATCTCTCGATTGATCCATCTAGTTGATGATTTATTTTGTAGACCCACTTGCAAGAGAGGGGTTTGACATC